AGGGAAACAGGAGGTCCTGCCATTTCCCCATTCACAGTCCCATGTGATGAGTCTGGCAGGGCAAATCGAACTCCTTCTTCTCGGCATGCAGTCAGAGCAGGAAGGGTGTTGGGTTCACTCAGGAGCCAACCCTGGGAGGAGAATTTAGGGGAATTCTTGCTCCCTGCTGATCAGTTCAGGATTCCTGCCTAGAAATCTCCACTGGGTGAACTCCCATCAGGTATGTTTGGCTTTTTCTTTTTCCCCTTGTACTTTAAATCTCCTCTTTGTCATGTTTGGAACAATGTGTTTGAGGAAGTAAAATCAAGAAATGGCGTTTTGTATTTTGCTTGTAGAGAGTTTGCATCTGCAGACACCCGCGTGTATCAGTCTTGTCTTTCTATCCCGATATAAAAGTCTCTCTCTTCCCATAACCCCCTCTAGCTATCTATTCAACACCCTCTCTCTCACTCGCCATACACCCTCTCTATATATCTATTCTCATACACCCTCTCTATCTATCTATTCTCATACTCTCTCTCTGTCTCTCTCTCTTTCTTTCTAGCCCCATACACCCCTCCGTATTCCTTTCTAGGCTGGAGTGTTCAGAGGAACCTAGGGGAGTTAGGTGAGAGTCAATGGGATTTGGGTGCCGAACTCCCTTGAAAACGGCTTGAGCTCCTTTGAAAACCCAAGTCCTCTTCACCTAAATCTCTCTGGGCCAGATCCTCAGCTGGTGTAAATCTGCTTCGCTCTAGTGACCACAATGGAGCGATATCAGTTTACACCACCTAGGGACCAAACTCATTGACCTCAGTGCAGCTACATCAATTCCCACCCCAGCTGGGAACGTCTCTGACTTTCGTTAGCTCTGTCCCTCCCTCCCGCCCCGGATCACCTTATCCCAGGCTCTGATGCCCATGGCCAGGTCCAAGATCCAGTTCAGGAGCTGTAGAAGTAGCCAGGTGAGATTATCCATTGACCCAGCTCTGTTTTCCTTTCAAGTCTGTTGTTGTCATATGAGGTTCCAGGAAGCCCCTTCCCCTGCCCCATCGCCCCCAAGAGGGACAAGCTGCCGGATGGCTCAGTGTGAGAGCGGCTGCAGGATCAGGGTTTGCTTCTTGACACTTTGCTCATGGCAGAGAGAGAGGAGAAATCTCAGCAAGTCAGTGTCAGATCTCTTGCACCATCACTGAGTGGAGGAAATTGAGACACTTGACTTAACCATGCAGATATTATCTCTCACCAGCGTGCTCTCTTTCCGCCCCCCCAGCTGAGCAGAATGAAGCTGTTGGCTTGTATCTTCTTGGCCTCTCTTGCTGCTGCTGCTACTGCACATCTACACACAGACCCGACGCTGGATAACCACTGGGAGCTCTGGAAGAAAACCTATGGCAAACAATACAGCCACAAGGTGGGCTCTGTGCAGCTGTGGGGTTAAAGTGCGGGAGGGGGATTTCCGTCACCATCTCCCCTCAGGTCAGCAGGTATCCAGCTGTAGAACTATAACCCATTTATACTGCAGATGTTCAGTGCTACTGCATAGTAACGTGGGGGCTGTGCTTTGGTTCCAGAAAGAGGAAGGGGAACGGCGCGTGACCTGGGAAAAGAACCTCAAGCTCGTTATGCTACATAACCTCGAGCACTCACTGGGGCTGCATTCCTATGAGCTGGGCATGAACCACCTGGCAGACATGGTAAGTTAAAAAAATAGACCAAGTGACTGAGCATCTGAGAATTATCTGTGTTTCCCTGGGGGTGCCGTGGCCAGAGAATGTAACTGAATCAGGGGCAGAATAAGCTCGAGCCAATCCAGGTTCTCTATGAGCCCTGCAGAGGTGGACCCACAAACCACAGCACCCCTCTGCGTCCTCCAGCAGTAACCTGCCCACCACTCCCGAGAGCTGTGCAAATCTCTGTTCTACTTGCTTGAGTCAGG